TTATTTCAATTAAATAAAGGCAATTAATCAAAAACTCGCAGCTTAATTTAAAGCATTTGTTCTTTAAACTTGATGAAACGTTTCAGTTCCACTAACAGATTATTTCATTCATTACATCATATTTTTCCATGTTACAAGTTAAATAATCTTCCAGTGAAACTTTTTTTAATCAATATTAAGGAATTATTGACGTAAAACAAGCTCCAGTTTTTTGTTAATGTCTGGTTAATGTTGCTCTCCTTTACTTTGACTGGGCCACAGTGCAGCAGCTGCCCCTGGGGGCCGCCAGCCCGCCCGCCTGCGCCGCGGCGGCGGCGGAGCGTCGATGACATTGAGCGGTCTCTGTCAGCGCGCTGTCGCTGTCCATCAGCGCCGCGCCGCGTTGCTCGCCTGGGAGCGTTCAGGTCGATGGAGGCGCATATTAAATTTATTACAAAATTACTGTCAGAAATGAAACTGAAAAACTTCTCAATCAAAGAGTTTGTTTTGAAAGTATTTTCAGATACTTTCATCTAAAGTCAGTTTGCCATTTTTTCTGACTTTATATTTTCAGATATTTTAACATTTTTAAGTTTTTCAGATTTTATTTTCCAATTTAGTTTCAAATGATTCTTTTTAGGATTTTAGTTTTCAAATTATGTTTTCAGATTTTATATTTTCAAGTTTTCAGATTTTATTTTTTTCAACATTACATATTCAAAGTATTTTGTCAGATTTTATAGTTTCATTTTTCAAATGTAATTATTTCTAATAACTCAAAGGTTTTATTTTTCCACACATAAATTCTTTTAACCATAAAAAGTAAAATTCAAAGACAATTCAAGAGTCAATAAATCTGAAAGAAGAATGTTTTGAAGAAAAATCTCGTAAATGATGTGAGTTCACTGTAAATATGTTGTCGTGTCCCGGGTCCTGCAGGCGCTAAGTGGACGCCTGTCTGGCCCAGACCTCCAGCTGGGATCCGGTTTGACCAACAATAATCCGGTTTTTATTGACTTCCTGTCGCTGTGAGTTGCTGCTTATGAAGAGCAGCAGCAAAACGAGTTTTTATTTCTCCATTTACTGTTATAAACAGCAGACTGTAATAAATGAGATCAGAGCCGTGTTGGCAGCAGCAAAACTCCAGACCAGCAGAGTCTGGCAGCCGGAAAACAGAACCGGGTCACAACCCAGGTTCTGGTTGCTGCTTGACAGACTGAAAGAAAACCTCCAGCTGATGAGACGAATGAAGCATGGCTAACAGACAGGCTAGGCTAACAGCAGCTAGCTTCTGAAAGTCTTTCAGGATGGATCTGAAATGTGTGGCTGCAACTAAAATGATCCATAATGGAAAAATAAAACCAGCTGAGGAATTTATTCATTTGTTAACTTTAACTTCTGGAGAATTACTCCAGTTCTGAAGAACTTTGGATCCATCAGAACTCAGTCTGACATAATGCTGCTCAACTGGGAGGAAGAGGTCAGAGGTCAGGGAGGGAGGGATAAAGTGTCTGGTCTTCCAGAGGTGACTCTATAAAACCTGCCCATAGCGAGACATAGCTAGCAGTTAGCATTATAGCTAACAGTTAGCTGCTAACAGCAGCTGTTTAAGATTCATTTGAAATGCTGTGACACATTCAGACTAGAAATGTTTTCAGGAGAAGCTGAACTGGATCATTGGAACAGAACCGCTGTCGCCGGATTCTTCCTGAGATCCAACAGGAAGTCGGTCAGACTGAATCTACGTAGCTGAACGTAGACAACAACTTCAGTACTCCACAGGCTACTTGTTAACAAGCTTAATGTTCTGTATTGTTATTAGCTAGTGGTCATTTAGCTAACATTAGCTAGTGATCTTTTAGCTAACATTAGCTAGTGATCTTTTAGCTAGCATTAGCTAATGATCTTTTAGCTAGCATTAGCTACTGATCCTTTAGCTAACATTAGCTAATCATCTTTTAGCCAACAGTAGCTAGTGATCCTTTGGCTAACAGTAGCTAGTGATCCTTTGGCTAACAGTAGCTAGTGATCCTTTAGCTAACATTACCTCCATCCAACCGTATCACTGAACTCAGTTGGTTAGTTTGGGGTAAAAACTGTTCAAGGTTCTTAGTGTTTTGCTGTATGATTCTAACATCTGTGCAGCAGCAGCAGGTGTGAACCCAGTGCGAGCGTCGTAGCGTTTAAAGGCGGCTCAGAAAAACAGGTGCCTCCAATGCCCCCCAATCCCCCCAATGCCTCCATTGCCCCCCAATACCCCCCAATGCCCTCCAATGCCCCCCAATGCCTCCAATGCCCCCCAATGCCCTGCTATGCCCCCAAATGCCTCCAATGCCCCCCAGTGCCCTCCAATGCCCCCAAATGCCTCCAATGCCCCCCAAATGCCTCCAGTGCCCCCAATGCCCTCCAATGCCCCCCAAATGCCTCCAATGGCCCCCGATGCCCTTCAATGCCTCCAGGCTTGAAGTCAGCAGCTAAACTCCTGGAGGTTCAGGCGCCCGGCAGAGTCTGTCTCCACAGCAGGACGGTTTTCTGGGTCCATATATTTCTCTTCTTCAGCCTCCAAAAGCTAAAGAAAAGCTCACAACATGAGAGAAACTGTAAATATCTTTAATTTGCTCCCGGCTGCTTGTTGGAGAGATGGCTTCCTGCTCTGGTTCGTCATCCTGCAGCTGATCTGTGATGGATGAGAATCTGTAGTTCTCTTGTTAAACATGGCCCTGTTGTTGGAGATAAAAAATGGCCGAGCTCAGGTAAAAACACAAGTGTCTGCTGCTGACTGAGAGTTTAATCATCCTCAATAATCTCTGCTGAATCTGGAGGTGGACGCTCCTACCTGTGGGAGCTGCTGGGAATTAATTAAGGAAGCAGTCCTCTGCAGTTTTCCTGTCCTTGGGTGATGAAGACGCTGCTGATAAAAGTTTGAAAATTTGCAGAATCCATAAAAAAACATTTAATCTGCGGGAATCAGCTCTGAATTACTGCTTATTAATATTTCTGAATGTTTTATTATCATAAAAAGCATCAAATGCAGGAATCTGGAGCAGATCGGTCACGTTCCATTTCGCTCAGCAGAACGTTCCAGATCCGGTTCTGTTTGTTTTCTATCTGAGTCTTTAGGGGAAATAAACTGAAATCCTGCAGGAATTTTCTGTGAATTTTCCAAACGCAGTAAAGAGAACATTAACGCCCCGCGTTCTTCTGCAGCCTCCTGATTAATAATGCATCGTTTTAATGTTCATTTTGCAAATAAAGTCCAGTCTTCCACATGCGTTTGTTTGAATGAACTGCTGCATTATTTGCTCCGTGATTCCAAGCGTTTGCTGTTTTTCTGTTAACAGGACAGCAGCGGCTCCCAGCTTCACCTCCAGCTGATGCAACGCCGTGGTAAACATGTCGCTGTCCCAACTTTTTCAGAAAATTTGCTGCCGGCATCAAATTTCTACTAAAAATCTCTTTAAATTTCCGTCTTTCTAGATTTCAGACTCCGTCTTTGTATCATTAAGTAAAGAGTTTGGGTTGTTATTATGATCGTGTTTCGTCATGCTGCAGCTGATTGGCTGCTCCAGCCGCGCCTCACCTGTCGGGGAACAGACAGCGGCAGTGTTTGCCTCGCGGCGGCGCTCCGGTTAATGATGGGAAGCTGGATGTCCAGCGCAGCTTCCTGTCACCGCTGCTTGATGTTTCCTGTCCGCCTGAAGGAAGGAAAACACACCTCCTGTATTTCCTCCTGAACCGCCCCGCTTCCCCGTGAAGGTGCATGAGGGAATCACTGCAGGCGGTGATGAAAGGAAAGATGAGCGGCTCTGTTTTTATGATTTTCATAAAGTTTCTGCTCGGATCCATTCTAGAGGATTCTTGTTTATTTTCCTTCTTTTCCCAGAACTGCAGCCTGTAATTCCAGCAATTTTCTGCTACACTTTCAGAAAATTGCTGGAATTACATTTTAAAATTCATGTTGCTTTCAATACAGCAGGGATATTTTTCTTTTTATGTAATTTGTAGTTTAGCTGTAAGCAGAATAGTTTTTCTTTTGGTCGATTTAAGAAACAAAATCAGCCTGAAAAGCAAAAGCAGAACTTTTACCTGTAAAATGTGTCGACTGTATGCGAGTCATTTGTAATCAATAAATCAATCAAATGTTTTCTAGTTTCTGGACGTTGCATTACTCTGACAGGAAAGAACAGAAAATGATTTAAACGGCCAGTACTGGGTAACATTAACTCTTTTTAATCTTTCCATTACGTCATAATTTTATTCATTAATAACAAACCTGCTCTGATTTTTCATGTTTGAGAAGTGATTTCGTCTCCCTGTCGACAGTCAGCTGTTGGATGACTTCCTGGAGACGGAGCTTCAGAAAGAGCGGGAGCTTTTAAAGAGACAATTGAAGAAAATTTACTGACTTAATCATTCAGAAACTATAATGGAGAATAGAAAAAGCTAAACAGACAGGAAATATGATCCAAACAGAACATAAGAATATCGGCTCAACACCAGGAGAGACAAAATAAATATAAAAGTAGATTTTTTTTATTTGCAGAATTAGGCAGTTTGGACTCGGTTGGGATTGTTTCTTCCTGGTTCTGGTGTCGTTTTACTTTATATCTTTGCAGCTTCTGGAGAAGGAGCCATCAGGAGGTCCTGATCAGCCAATCAGAAGCAATTACACAATGGAGTCGATTCTTTATTTACATCAGAAAGAGACAGAAACGTAAACAACGCGACTGGAGGTGAAATACGCTCTAAAGCCTGAGGCTGATTGACAGCCAAGTTTTCCGACATTTAAATCTCTGAGTTTCTAAGATCATCCAGGTGGGAGGAGCTTTGATGCCATCAGCACCTTCACAGGCTGATGGTTCTGGAGGCCATTTTGGCTAACATTCTAACATCTGGGATGTTTTGAAGGAAGTTAAAGAAACCCGCGCTCTGCTTCTGTCTCTATTAAACTTTATTTATTGTTGTATTAATACTACATGGTGTATGGTAAATTAACTTCCTGTCTGCACTGACCCCTGCAGGACGGAGGGAGGAGGACGATGGCGGTCGGCTTTTCTCCGCAGATCACTCTGCTGTGCCTCGGCTTCGTCTCTGGGGTTCGAACCCTCAACCCCGACGACCCAACGTGTGCAGCCGCTGGGAGAGGTCAGTTCTGATTTAGCGCCGGTTGGAACCGCCCCGCCGCTCTAATGGACTCCCCGCCACAAATCAGAGCCAGGGAGTTCTGCCAAAAGCCGGATGCAGAAGGGAAAAGGTTTACGGCGGGCGGAGGTGGGCAGATGGAGGCTGTAAATTCAAAATGGTGGCAGCGAGCTCAGACTTCTGGGAAAAAAAGAAAATCCCTGAACCAGTTCTGATGAGCTGCTGTGATCGATGGGAATTTTACAAATGGATATGAGCTGCAAACATGATTCCAGTTTTCTCTTCATGTTTCCCTCCCCAGTTGATCTGTTTAAAGAAACTTTAAGCCGTTTCCTTCTGAAGCTCCAGTTTCACTCAAACCCCTGGGAATGCTGGTCATTTTCAGATGGAAACCTTAAATACAGATCTCCAAAGCTTTTGCTATAATTACTTTATTATGAATTATTTTCTTTTTACTTGCTAAGCAACAAATTAGCTTCTATTTTAATGTAATAAGTTCAGAAAAAGTTGTGCAGTTTCATAGTCAAGATGTTCATTTTAGTTTAAGCCCCAGAAACAAAATAAGAACCATTTTTGAAAACCTTTAACTGGATTTATTTATTGGTTGTGACTGAGTCTGTTTTCAGACATTGAGCTTTCACTACATAACAGAATAAAGAAGAAGAAACTGTCTAGTCCAAGCCCATTAGAAGTAAAACATTGGTTTTGTTTCTAAAAGTTAATACTAGATATAAATTTGTAATTGAAAGTTTCATACAAAGAGAAACAGAAAAATTCTCTGTCTGTAGCTGTGCTGTTTAAACCTTCTCATCTGCATCCAAGGCCACTTAAAACTATTCACAGGGCCGCAAACGGCCCCGGTGCCGCACTTTGGACACCCCTGCTCTAACATGATTGGTTCTTCTTCTGCAGCTACGCAGTCACTGTGCAGGAATCCTACGCCCATCCCTTCGACCAGATCTACTACACCCGCTGCACCGACATCCTCAACTGGTTCAAATGCACCAAACACAGGTAGGAACACCACAACGTTCCCAACACTCCCAGTGTTCCCAACACTCCCAGTGTTCCCAACACTCCCAGTGTTCCCAACGATCCCAACACTCCCAGTGTTCCCAACACTCCCAGTGTTCCCAGTGTTCCCAACACTCCCAGTGTTCCCAACACTCAGTGTTCCCAATGTTCCCAACACTCCCAGTGTTCCCAATGTTCCCAATGCTCCCAGTGTTCCCAATGCTCCCAGTGTTCCCAATGTTCCCAACACTCCCAGTGTTCCCAACACTCAGTGTTCCCAATGTTCCCAACACTCCCAGTGTTCCCAATGTTCCCAATGCTCCCAGTGTTCCCAATGCTCCCAGTGTTCCCAATGTTCCCAATGCTCCCAGTGTTCCCAATGTTCCCAACACTCCCAGTGTTCCCAATGTTCCCAACACTCCCAGTGTTCCCAACACTCCCAGTGTTCCCAATGTTCCCAACACTCCCAGTGTTCCCAATGTTCCCAATGCTCCCATTGTTCCCAAGGTTCCCAATGCTCCCAGTGTTCCCAACACTCCCAGTGTTCCCAAGGTTCCCAACATTCCCAGTGTTCCCAATGTTCCCAATGCTCCCAGTGTTTCCAAGGTTCCCAATGCTCCCAGTGTTCCCAACACTCCCAGTGTTCCCAACGTTCCCAACACTCCCAGTGTTCCCAAGGTTCCCAACATTCCCAGTGTTCCCAAGGTTCCCAACATTCCCAGTGTTCCCAAAGTTCCCAACACCCCAGTGTTCCCAACGTTCCCACTGCTCCCAATACTCCCAAACAATCCAGAAAAACACAAGGGAGCATTTTTTGAACAATTCGGAGTACATGGTCTCTTCATGAAGACGAGCTAAATTTATATTTTTGCAGTCAAAAATACTTCAACTGTAAGTACTTTGTAGCCATTATGCTTGTAATACAAAAAAATTCAACAAATTTTGTTTCACCCAAATTTTTAATTTTAATTTTTTGTAAATGTACATTGAGTGTTGAATGTATGGACTAGAAAATACAATAAATCTGTAGAATAAAGTATTCTGCTTGTGGATGTCAAGACCGATCAAAATGGCAGAAAAAGAAATGTCGTTTCGGACATGTTTTTTTTGAGGATGTACAGGTCTCCATCTGGAGTCTCCATCTGGAGTCTCCATCTGGAGTCTCCATCTGGAGTCTCCATCTGGAGTCTCCATCTGGAGTCTCCATCTGGAGTCTCCATCTGGAGTCTCCATCTGGAGTCTCCATTTGAACAACACCTGATATACAAGCTTCAAATGTCTGTAACTCCTCAGTGCTTCAATTAGAGTCATTAACGAGGCTCTAATGAAAAATAATAACCAGAGGGATCCTCAGATAAACACAACATTACTCATAGTGGAAATTACTTAGAGTGATATTAATAAAATAGCATATCTGGGGGGCAGATTACTCCTCCATAACTCAAACCCCTGAACCCCGGAGAAGCAGCAAAAACATAAAACTCATAAATCTACAAAAGTCTCAAAAACATTCACATCTCCAAATATTTTATTACAACTAAAAATCCAGTTTGTTTTACTGGGATTTTTTGAGACAAACACAAAGAAAAGTTGTATCCAAACTTATTCTTTGAAAAATTCCTTTCATAAAAAAAGAAAAAAATCTGAAAAGTGTGGCAGTCTTTTATATTCTGTCTCCATAAAATACTTAATTCTTCACTGGCTGTTTTTGACCCACAGGAAGTCGGCAGCTGATGTTGGGGTTCTGATGGAGCGTCTTTATTTTATCCAGGTTTTCTGTCAATGTGTAGTTTTTAATGTCACGTTTCTATTTGCTGGTTAACATGAGTAGAAAACGGAGCAGAGTTCATCCGACCTCAAGCGCAGCACTTCAGGCCTCATCATGGACACTGAGAGTTTCTGTTGAAAACACTCTTTCTTGTGATTGGAGACATTTTCAGAGAATGTTTGTGATCAAGCAGAACCCCAAGGTTTAAACACTGAAGCAGAGTAAAATAGAAATAATAAGAAAAGTGTTTCACAACGTGAGCAGAGCGAGGACAGATTTAACACGATGCATTTCAGTTTTCATCCCAGACTTTCCTGTCACCAGCGATTCTGCAGCTCTGCTGACGGTTTGTTTCAATGAATCTGTTTTAAATTGGATATTTAGCCTCTTCTGATGTAACCCAGAAAATATGAGTTTATCTCCAGAAAGCTGAGAATATTTCTGAGATCATTTTCACAGTTCATCTCACACACACAGACCCAACCAGCCTCATGAGACCAGTTACCCCAGCAGTCCCAGAGAGATCCCAGCATGCTGGGAGAACATTCCGACTCCTTGCAGAAAGACTGCAGGCCGGGATTCAAACCCACAACCTTTCAGCTGCAGGGCAGCACACATTAAATAAGCTCCAGTCCGAGTTAGCATCTCCTAGCGTCGCGTTTCCATCTGTTCATTTCTGCCCTGCTGCCTTTTGGACTCCGGCTTCGTTTCCATCCAAATGTAAAAGAAAACACAAATTTGTGGAGTTTCCAGTGCCTGGTTTGGAGCTGGTCGACCAGGCCATAAAATAGCTCCCAGGTGTTGATGCTAGCTAACACGGACCACACACATCAGGAAAGGTGACTGAGAAATGTTCAGCTTTGTTCCTCTGGTAAGGCAGAGACAAACTTCTCCTCTTTAGCTAAAACAATCATCTCAAGCAAATGCAGAAACATTTTGCAAAATTGAGAAGCTTATTTATAATTTTACAGTTTGGAACAAACTCTTCTGATGTTGTACTTCAAAATATGAATAAAAATGAAAATATGGCTTTAGACTGTGTTTGTTTGCTCCCTTCACTTCCATACTGAGCTGACCCATATTTAGTTAGCTTCATTTTAGCTAATATTGGTAACAAAATGTTTGTGTGTGTGTGTGTGTGTGTGTTTGTGTGTGTATGTGTGTGTGTGTGTGTGTGTGTGTGTGTGTGTTTGTGTGTGTGTGTTTGTGTGTGTGTGTGTTTGTGTGTGTGTGTTTGTGTGTGTATGTGTGTGTGGGGTGTGTGTGTTTGTGTGGTGTGTGTGTGTGTGTGTGTGTATGTGTGTGGGGGGTGTGTGTGTGTGTGTGTGTGTGTGTGTATGTGTGTGTGTGTGTGTGGGTGTGTGTGTGTGTGTTTGTGTGTGTGTTTGTGTGTGTGTGTGTGTGTGTGTGTGTTTGTGTGTGTGTTTGTGTGTGTGTTTTGTGTGTGTGTGTGTGTTTGTGTGTGTGTGTTTGTGTGTGTGTGTGTGTTTTGTGTGTGTGTGTGGGGGTGTGTGTGTGTGTGTGTGTTTGTGTGTGTGTGTGTGTGTGTGTGTGTGTGTGTGTGTGTGTGTGTGTGTGTGTGTGTCTGTGTGTGTGTGTGTGTGTGTGTGGTGTGTGTGTGTGTGTGTGTGTGTGTGTGTATGTGTGTGTGTGTGTGTGTGTGTGTGTGTGTGTGTGTGTGTGTGTGTGACCTGTGCAGGATCAGCTATAAGACGGCCTACAGGAGAGGCGTGAGGACGATGTACCGCAGACGCTCGCAGTGCTGCCCCGGGTTCTATGAGACCGGAGAACTCTGCGTCCGTAAGTCATTTAATGTACACTAAAATAGAAACTGGACGAAAACACAGTGAAGAGTTTTGAACCTACAGTATAGCAGCAACAATAAAGAGCTGAAACAGATTGAATGTGTTTGTTAGATGAGAAGAAGCTCCAGCAGCTGCAGAGTAAAACATCACAGGTTCCCAGATTAAACCTGCTGATGATGTTCAGTCGCTCTGGTTTTATTCATCTGCTGCCACTCTGACGAACCTGCTGGAGTCAGAATCTGACCGGATTCTGCTTCTGGGAAAAGCAGCAGGGAGTCAAACAGTTTGGGTTGCAGCTGAACTGGAAGCTGTGGTGCTGCGGACCAGATGATTCTGTGGTACCCGTCAGATTATCAGCTGTAATCCCGATGTGCGGTGAGATTAGCTCCAGCCTTGGTTTGTTTGAGACAGATGCCGCCTCAACATCTGCGGTGAAATCTGAAAAAAGAGATTTTTCTCAGCATTTAAGACTTTCTTCTGGTAAAATGATTGTAGAGCGTTCCTAATAATCTGTCAGCCACTCAGGAAGAAAGGCTGAAATTAGAGCCACTGTTTGAAAACAATTTCTGTCATTTGTAATTAAGTTTTTTAAAAAAGAAAGCAAGCAAAATTAATAAGTAAATTCAGATCTGAGCTTTTATCTCCATGCGACATCACCCTGCCTGACATGTGGAGCACGGCGGCGGAGGAGTCATGGGTGGGCTTTGCCGTCACTGTGTGGATGGCGATCAAGAGTTAAAGTGAGAAGCGTCACAGCAAAAACAAACACATCACAAAAACAAAAACCATCAGTTTCTCAGAAGAAAAATATTTTACTAATTAACCAGTTAAAGTTACTTCATGTTTCAAACTAACTTTCTTTTTATTGTGCTCTAAGAACTTTGGCTCAAAATTAAAATGAACCACAAACAGTAAGTAGAAATAATAACAAATGCAGGTTTTTAACAATTTTATGTTTATGTCATTATGTTGGAATCTATACTTAAAAACTATAAGAATATCTGCTTCCTCTTTTAGGATTATCTTCACTGACAAATGAAACGCCGGCTCTTTCCTAAAGTAGATATTTGTATAAGAAGTCGTGACATTTGCAGCGCTGAGCCAGTTTGTTTGGTAAAGTGGATCTTTAGGTTGCACATCTCTGATTTATTACAGTCACATTCATCCAACTAGAATGATTTCATAACTTGATTATTACTGATTAAAGGGAAATTAATATTTTTGCAAACACATTTTGTTTTAAAAACTATATAAAACTGACTTTACTTTTGGAGTCTGAATTACTTTCTACACAAATAAAACGAAAGAAATTATGAAATTTACAGAAATACGACAGAAAAACCCGGAGGAGAAATAAAAAATGATAGAAAATCCGTCCAGAGTTCGTCTTCATTCAGCTGCAGAAATCAATTATCCACTCTACATGGTAAACTCTATGGTTCAGAGCTGCTTTGTCCCTGAACAGAGGGGGACTGCCTGGGGGTCAGAGGTCAGCTGGGGGACATTGTGTCATTTTATTCAACATCTGCGGTAAACAATGACTTTCTTCTCCCTGGAGACTCTAGAGGAAAACCTTTGACTGCTTTGTTTGATGCTGTGACCTCCAGCTCTGATTGGCTGAGCGGCAGCTAGCAGCAGCTAGCGGCTCGCTAACGCAAGAGACTCCAGCTCTGATTGGCTGAGTGGCAGCTAGCGGCTCGCTAACGCAAGAGACTCCAGCTCTGATTGGCTGAGTGGCAGCTAGCGGCTCGCTAACGCAAGAGACTCCAGCTCTGATTGGCTGAGTGGCAGCTAGCGGCTCGCTAATGCTAGAGACTCCAGCTCTGATTGGCTGAGTGGCAGCTAGCGGCTCGCTAACGCTAGAGACTCCAGCTCTGATTGGCTGAATGGCAGCTAGCGGCTCGCTAACGGTAGAGACTCCAGCTCTGATTGGCTGAGTGGCAGCTAGCGGCTCGCTAACGCTAGAGACTCCAGCTCTGATTGGCTGAGTGGCAGCTAGCGGCTCGCTAACGCTAGAGACTCCAGCTCTGATTGGCTGAGTGGCAGCTAGCGGCTCGCTAGCGCTAGAGAGTCCAGCTCTGATTGGCTGAGCGGCAGCTAGCGGCTCGCTAACGCTAGAGACTCCAGCTCTGATTGGCTGAGTGGCAGCTAGCGGCTCGCTAACGCTAGAGACTCCAGCTCTGATTGGCTGAGCGGCAGCTAGTGGCTCGCTAACGCTAGAGACTCCAGCTCTGATTGGCTGAGTGGCAACTAGCGGCTCGCTAACGCTAGAGACTCCAGCTCTGATTGGCTGAGCGGCAGCTAGCGGCTCGCTAACGCTAGAGACTCCAGCTCTGATTGGCTGAGCGGCAGCTAGCGGCTCGCTAACGCTAGAGACTCCAGCTCTGATTGGCTGAGCGGCAGCTAGCGGCTCGCTAACGCTAGAGACTCCAGCTCTGATTGGCTGAGCGGCAGCTAGCGGCTCGCTAACGCTAGAGACTCCAGCTCTGATTGGCTGAGTGGCAACTAGCGGCTCGCTAACGGCAGCGACTCTTGCAGTGAATTTGCTGGTTGTTATGGAAACTGAGTGACATGTGAAGGTCAGTCATATTCCTGCTGTTTTTGGAGATCAGCAAATTTCTGACTTTTAGAATTTGTGAAATGTTGAATTTTTTAACCTTTAAAGTGACAGTTTGACTTCCATTATTTTTTCATTGTTATTCGTGCTCCATGCATGTTTGAGAAATCCCAGCCTCTGCTCCTTCAGACTAGCCAGCAGCATTTAGCAAGCAGCCAGTTGAGCTCCTGGAGCTGCTGCTCAAAGTGACTCCAGTAGAAACGTTGCTAAAGGGTTAATGGAGGAGCCATGTTTGGGATGATTGCCTGGAGGCGGAGCTTCAGAAACAGCAGGAGTTTTTAAAGAGACAGACGCACAATTTCAAATCAGGAAGTAATATTTATTTAAGTCAGATTTTATGTAGTTGTAGGAAACATAGTTGCTGATTGTGCTATAAAGTGGGATATGGAAAACACACAGTGCCCCTTTAAAACAAATAACTTTTTAAGTGATGGGATGTTTCGTCATGGAGGAAAATAAAAGAACTCAAACTGAACCGGGTTCTGGACGGCTCCTCCTGCAGGTGGCAGAACTTCAGGTGCGTCCTCGCTGATGTTCTACATCCTTGCATATTCAAGGGCGCCGGCGGCTGCTTCAGCACGCTGAGACAATGGCTGGAATTAAGCAGCGATTATTTCATTTGATATCTATTAATCTTGTTGGAGCCGTTGCTGATGTAATCCTGCGTGGAGCGCTTTCTGCTCGGGATGAAAGGAAGGAGCAGATGATTAACCTTTAAAGATTAATCATCTCTCCTCCAGGACGACCACAGCTCCTGCCTTTCTTATTAAAATCTGAGCGCGACACTGCGAGGTGTTTTATCGGCCTCATAAAATATGCTGGGCAGCAGAAAAATTTCAGCCTGAAGTTTATACACAGCGATGCTCCAGTTAAGTTTTACAGTGAAGGAAGCAGAACCTGCTGGACCTTCAGCATCAGAACTGGAGCTTCTGCTTCAGACTCGGATTCAGACCTGAACTTTAACTGTTCAGCCTTTAGCTCATTTACTGAAAGGTAAAACGCTTTTCTTGGAGTTAATGGTTTCACATTGAATTATTTCTTAATATTATTTACATAAATGAGTTTTGAAACCGATTTAAAATGAAACATGTTTGCATTTTTGGACCAGAACCGCATCCTGTCAGGTTCTTTTTGACGACCAGGAGCTTTGGTCCTGATTTAAACGATAAGAACATTTGAATTTTACAATTTGTTTGTAGGTTTTAGAATTAATTTCCATTAATTCAATAAATCAGGCAGCTTCACTGAACATGTTGCGCTGGTCTCTGAGCTTTTCTCTCATTAAAATGACTTCCATCTTTATTTTGCTGATATTACGACTTTATTAAAATATCTCAGTCTTTCAGAGATGCAGTCGGTTTTGATCCTGGTTTTCCTGAATGCGATTTGTAGGACTGAGTAAACTTTCCATTATTCACAGACTCAGTTTGAACAGAGAAGTCGTGAGCATGCTCAGTGTGACAAAAAGCCTCCGTCGTTCCGGAGTTCACAGAAATATAAATGTGATCACCAACATGTTTCTGCAGAGCGCTGCTGCCTGAGAAGAGAAATAAATCTGGAAGCGGCGACTTCGGCTCGCTGTCCGTTTGAAGGACGATGTGAAAAACCCGCAGGAATGGAAATACGAGCCGAAACAAACTCAACGCGCTGACAGCATTCATCACACACACAATAATAAAACAGTAACACAATGAAACGTTTGAAAGTGAGTCCATTCTGTGTGACTGGGAGGAAAAAAGGAGAGAAAACGGAGTAAAATTGACCTGAGTGGCTGAAGCTCTGTGAAATCCATCCTCACCTCCGTCTGCACCTGAACTCCTCACTGCAGCTCTTCACTTTCAGCAGAGCCACGTCCAAATAATTCAAGTTTTCATGAAGCTGTCATACTCACAGCGTTTGATCCTGCATGTCGAGTCAACTCGTTGGTTTATGTTTGCGAAAAGACGACAGCAGAGTGAAGATCTGTGACATGATGCAGTATTTAGATCATCCTCTCCACATGAGCTGGAGAAACCGAGACAAAGCTGCTTCTGCTTCCTAACTCCACTTAGCTTCATCTTAGGAAGGTTAAAGCTTCGCTTCTCCTGTGTCAACAGCTTCATGTGCATTTGTCTGCACACTAATTAAAAAGTGAGCTGGAACAGAGAGGAAGCTTAGGACAGCATCTAAAATTGCTTTTATCCATTTGACACCCAGAAAGCCTCAGTGCTACAGATTCCTGAAAATGTCTGAGTCCAGCTGACAAACAGAGAAACGGCTGTCTGCAGCTCCGCCGCGCCGAAAACACGCTGGAAAAAAACGTGTTAATTAGTCAACCCTGGGCTGCTGTGGAGGAGTCGCTCAAAGTTTTCCTGCTCTTTCCAACCCCGAATCCAAAAACTGAAGCAGCAACTTTAAATCGTTAAAGTTGGAAAAGTTTGAACACCGTCCGATAAAGTTCTCACAGCTTTTCTGACTGAAACACCGAGAGTCTGATCAATTACTAAACATTTTAGATCTGAGCTGCTTTACATATTTATGCTGAACCTGCTTCCATTCATTCATTCATTCATTCATTCATTTTAAGTTCTTTAAAGAGTAAAGTTGTTTGCGTGTCCAATTGGCCTGCTTGCTATTCTTCCTCATTTTTTTTCTTCGATGTGTAGATTTTTTTTTGTTTAAAATTCCTTGCAAATATTTTAAAGTAGCACTGAAGAATCAGTGATTTTTGTGTGCAAAAGAAAAAAATCACAAAAATAAGTGTAAAATTCTGGAAAGTAGAATCAATATTAGAGAAGAAAAAGAAAGAATGTCGCCACTGTAGCACAGCTATCTCCTGCAGGAAGTTGGAAAACAGCGACTTAAAAATATTTTTCAACATTAAACAAATGTTTAATGTCTAATAAGGGAGGTAAGGATGGATCCCTTCAGATTTTTGTGATTTTGTGATTTACACAAACTCAACAGATCTTTGCATTTTTCCACACTATTACATAATTGTGATTTTAATAGATATTTTTCGCAAACATGGTCAAAACCATTGGGTTTAGGTGATACTAACTGCACCCTGCAGGTGGCGGTATTTCTCAGCTTCAGTTTATTTCAGATTATCGTCAGTAACAACAAGTCGCATTTACCGTCAGATGCAAGTGGAAATATAATAAAATTTCTTGCAAATTTTTCTGGATTAATGCCTCAAAACCAAAACGTTTTGATTGAGAGAAATCACAAAAACCATTATGAAATCCTGGATTGACTGATTAATGTAGTAAGGATCTTCTATATCCTTACTACATGCATAAAATCCCTTTTATGTTGGAATAAAAGGGATTTTCACTTTGTCCAAAAATAAATGAACTGTTTTAAGGTCATGAACAGAATTTATTTCAAGTAAAAATGTATTTTTTCAGATGATTTCCATCTGGGGATGAATCTGTTCTTCTCCTCCTCCTCTGTGGAGTTTTTACTCTCCTCTCTTCTTCATGCTTCTCCAGGAGACGTCTTCTGCCTTATTATGAGATAAGAGCAGAGTCATAAAGCCACGTCCTGCTTTATTTCTGAGCGTGGCGTTGTTTGCTCTGAAGCGTCTGATTGCTCTCAGCTGTAAGGTCCTGTCATAATGAAATATGAAACCATCTCAGGGTGAGAAATGAGCGCCGGAGCTGCTTATCTGCCTGCTGTACAATGCAGATATCACTTCTTATCAGGAATGGGGAGATTTTAGAGCAGGTTGGTGAATAAATAAATAGTGAGATCAGTCAGAATGTAAGCTGTTGATAGATGAATCCCTGCCTTTCTAATGTTTTATGTAAAACTGGACCAGAGAGGAAAATCACAGCGGTTGTCAAGGAGCAGTAGGAGGTCAGAGGCTTTGTTTTTGTTCGTTGTCTCAAAATGTTTCTGACTTTAACCCTGAAACCGCATTTAACCTCCAGTTCGCAGATTTATTTATACAAAAAATCTAGTAATGGAAAAAAATTAAACATTTTTCATTAAAGATCGCAACAAAACTTTCCTTTAAAAGTTGGTTTGATGAGCTTCGAGCCCCCGGCGAGGTTCTCCAGGTCCAGATTGCTAATCCCGGTCGTCCTGTTTCTCCGCAGCGCTGTGTACGGAGGAGTGTGTCCACGGCCGCTGTGTTTCTCCGGATATCTGCCAGTGTGAGCCGGGCTGGGGGGGGGTGGATGCTCCAGCGGTGAGTATGCCTGCAACACAAAAACTCATCATGCTGGAGATGCTTGGTTTTTCTCGTAAATTTACTTCCATCATGGATGTGTGAATGTGTGAATATTCAGAGCAGATTTGCATTTAAAATGTGTCTTATTAAAGAATAGAAAGAGCGAACAAGTAGGAATAAATAGCTGTGCAACAGAGGAGGAAATGTGCTTGGTATTTATTTCAGCAAGTGCAGAAACAAGCAAACAAAATTCAGCTTTGAGAAAGTAAAGTGAAAGGTTTTTGGTAATAAATGATTTTTCTGAATATGATGTTGACCAGAACATAAACAGAATATTAATTTTAGGGTTGGGACTTTAACATGATTATTTCTATTGATTAATTACACAGATTTTTAACACAATTGATCAATTTTTGTTATTTACATGTGAATGTCCTGAGTCGTAACTCTGTACTTTTGTATTTCTGGTTTGTCCGTAAATCTGAGGCACAAATTGCATCCTCCAAAGTCAGCTGTGGACGACCGAGCTTCTAAACGATGATTGGACGCTGGAAGCCATTGTTGTGTGCTAAAAGCATGTCAGCAAAGCAATTCAAGCATAAAATAGCATCTCAATGCTAAACATGTAGCAGATAATGCTAATGTCAGAGTCCACATTTCTAAAGAAGCTCCATGAATGATCAGAGAAACTCTGGAAAGCTGAATGGCTGGAATAACAATCTCTAAATATCTCTGTTATTGAGCTCATATGTATATTTATTTAATAATTTAGAAGAAAATTATTGAATAATCTATCCCTTTAACCTCACTACGTCGGCCTTTCAGCTGATTTCATATTCACCAGCTTCTCTCAGCTCTGTTCTGTTTGAACACATTTTGATAAATTCAGCTTTAGTTTCAAACGTCTGTCTGCTGCTGATAAAACCCTCTGCAGGATTCAGACAGGAATCAACGTTTTATACGCAGCCCTTGATGGAGAAGTTGAAACCACCTTCAACCCCTGAAACAGACCAATCAGCAGCTTTGTGAAATGTTTTGTTTAGGCCACTTTGTGGCAAAATGTTGCTATTGATGTTATCTTAGAGCCGAATCAAGGCTGATTCGTCTCATTTCCTGTTTGTCCCCTCATTTCCTCTGCAGCTTTGGTTTAAATATGAGCTAAGAGTGTGTGTGTGTGTGTGTGTGTGTGTGTGTGTGTGTGTGTGTGTGTGTTGTGTGTGTGTGTGTGTGTGTGTGTGTGTGTGTGTGTGTGTGTGTGTTTGTTTATATGACTTTATGTGACCGGGTCCAGTATGTGTCTTCTGAGGACCAACGGACCTCATGGGCACAAAAGCAAAATCATAACGATTCTAAAGTGGCCATAGAAGAAATTTCAATCATATTCAAAGGCCATGTATAGCTCCTGTTTTTATTTTATTTAGAAGTTCTTCATTATCTCAACAGTCTCACTTTTTAGACATTTCAGTTTTTGCAATGTTTAGTTATTCAACAATGTAGAATGGCAGCATCAAATTACATCAATAACTAACAGTAAAGCAAACATATCAAACTGTCAACCACACCGTTCATCCAGGAAGTGTGAAGTACAAACCTTTTGTACTGCTTAACTTTCTAAAAAGAATTTTGAAAATGTGTATTTTTTGCAGCATTTTTGAAACGGCATCATAACTTTATTAATATATGACAATCCACCACATAAAACAAGTCACAATTTTCTGGGGTTTTTGGCAGCAGTGTTCTCAATCCGACTCATTGCGGTGCACAGTAGCATTGTCGCATGCCTTTTGCGATAACAAACTTAGCAGAATGACAAATTGGCACAGAAGTCCTTGTTGAGACCATTTTTATGTAATATAATGGTATGGGCATAATAATGCAAGAACACATTCTCAAATATCAATGAACTTTCAGTCCTAATGAATATTTAACACAGGAACAACAAAGAAAATGAATTATGAAGTCTTAAATTGTTCTTAAAAATGAGCGAGTTGAAGACTTTTGTAGACTTCTGAAGACTTTTCCAGTTTTTGATAGAACAGAAAAGAAAGAGAAAAACAATAAATTATGCAATGGAAATTATTGAGGTCATTTCAATTGATCATGCAATCAATTGATTTATTGCACATTAGACAGGGTTATATGTCTACTAATTGCTCTGTAGACTCCACCAAACAGAGTAAACTCCCCATCAGAGAATACCTTGCCATATCTTGTAATTTTGTGGAGTTTAGCAAAACTGGTCCTGACTGCTGCATCTCTGGAAGAGTGGAGCTTTTTAAAAATGTTGTTGCTGTCTTGGTTTCACTAGTTTTCCTCTGAAGCTCATCCTGCTCCGCATCAGTCAAATTCTTGTACTTCTTTCTTGTTCATCTCATGGTTGCGGGTGAAATTGTAATCTTTAACACTATTATATGTTCTCCACACTAAGCACAGCTGTACGCTCGATTTCAGCAGAGAAATAGAAAGGAATCTATGTCTTGTAGAAAACTCTGGATTTAGCTTTTTTTTCCTTTTTTAACATTAGTCATATTTAAATGCTAAACTAAGTTCTTCAAAGGTATTCAACACATTTGCTGAGGCATATCAGCAAATGGGGGTCTATTGCTTTCTTAATGAACAATTGTTATTATGAAAGCAATCGTGGCCATCAAAATAAAAGTCCTATCATTATATTTTGTGCATTTGTACAAAACAGAGGTTATCAATTGAGTTAATCTGAAGGTGATAGATCCCAACAATTAATTTATGAGCGACATTTTTCTTAAAAACCTGAGTTTTTCTTGTATTAAGGTCGACTGTCATTCCATAACATGAAGCAATTATCTTTATTTTTTGTCTATTAACAACTAACTGAATAAACTAACAATTTTGTTTTTTTTTCACATTAAGTTTAGATATATTTAGAAGATATAATAAAACAGTAACCTCCTCAGTTGCTGAATTGAGAAATAAAAGAGTGAAATAAAACGTGAAGCACTTAATCCTCATGAACAGAGGAATATTCATGCAGATGTTTTGTCAGTGAGAAAGAGCGCAGACTTTATTGACTTCGAAGCACATTGGTAATTTTGGAGTTTGTAGAGGGTTTACATTTCTATTCAGAGCTGTAGGAAGAGAATTTATCATCCCACTTTCCCAATCTAATATGGCTGCCATCTTAATTTCTATAATAACTGGGTCTTCTTATGGATGACCAGTGGCGCCCTCTGTGGGATGGCAGCCAAACTACAACAGTAAGTGGAAGTTATAAGTTAATCTATTGGAATAATTTTAATCTAATAAACCATTAGTCAACAATCGTAAGTAAATTAATTGTTTAAATTCTGAGTAATGAGACTTTTATACTACAAACTGGTAGCTAAATTGTGTTTTGGTTAAAATTACACTGGAAGTGGTAGGAGTTTTAAATGCTGTATCTAAACTGAAGGGAATGTGTGTGTGGTTTGTTAAAGAGGGATTTGGGTCCATCGGCTCTTAATGAGCCCCCTTTAGCGCCCGCGCTCTGTCTTTGTTTATCTGTTTTTATTGTCCCTGCTGGGCTGCAGCAGAGGTTAGGTAAATCTTCACCGAGGTGAACGATGAAGTATTGATTGGCCACAAAGTCCCTCTTAGAGAGAGAAAAGAAACCAAACACTCAGGATGACATAAGTTTCCATCTCCATCTGTGGTAGTTTATTTCATCTTAACACCTTCATCTGTTCCTCAGGTGAATCTGCAGGTGGGAAACATTTTTATCTGTTTTCCACCTGCAGCAAAATTTCTTCAGTTGCGCAGTGAGAGCGAATCTTTCCTCTGACACAGATGTTGAGTTTAGCTGATTTTCAGATGTTTTAGAAGACGGATCCTGAGGTCATGTTTGGTCTGTACTGCCGCTTTAACTCTGGATGAGAGCCGCCTCCTTCATGATGTTTGCAGTATTTTTTTAATTTAGCTGTAATATGTGTTGATAAAGGCGTATGTGTCGGTGCTGCAGACCGGCTGGTTGGAAACATGAAGCAGGTGTGATGAGTTAGCGAAGCTGTCAGGGATTCATCGATCAACGGTTTTTAATCACACCTGATGAACATCGGTATCAATAACAAAAATAAAGCTGTGGAAGTTCACTTTTGAAGTGTGGAGTAAAAGTTTTCAGAACAAACTTCATTATTTTATTTGATGTTTTTCAGGGTTACAAGTGAAGTCAGGTAGGTTTTTCAGAGGTCACCTGGGATCTGGAGCCATGCTGACTTTCTGTTTGGATGTTTTCCATCTGGAAGACGGAAAACATTCCAACTGTCGGAAAAAATTGCCCACAGAAACCATCAGAAATCCTAGTCTGTCGTTCTGGATCCAGTAGTTGGTGTTATTGCCTGCCTTGTGAGCTATGGGGCTCGCTGGAGGTAAAATGATGTTTCCTGTCCATCAAACTTTGGAGTCCTAAACTTCAAATTGTTAAAACAAAACCATCTGGATGGAAGGAAAACAAACTGTCCTGTCGAGGAAATTCTGCCTACTTGTCCAAACCTGTTCATGGAAGCATTAGAGGTCACCTTTACATTATTAAATGTCATTTAATTTGATTGTTTAGTTACGTATGTGACAGACGACAACCGCTAACCATAGGTAATACATAAAAAATTGCTAAAATACTTATATTAGCTACAAGGCTAATGTTAGCATGAGAGCTATCGCTAGCTTGCTTTTTTCCTCAGAGCAGGAAGCAGCTTCTCTGGGCTCGGAGGACCGTCACCCAGTGGAACATGGACGGGTCAGTGCTCCAGATGTTTGGTGGAAAAGCAGGAACCATCAGAACCATCAGAGTCCCAACACTCAGTCTCTGATGGTGGGAGGTTGCACCATGGTATGGGTTGGGTCATCTGCCTGCAGGACGGACTCCTCCTCACAGGGAAACATGTTGAATTTGGAAACTATAAATGGGACAATGAACTTGGACATGATCATTAACTCACTGAGGCCCAGAAAACTCTTGATGTAGAGGTTTGGTCTGTAGTTGGAGCGGTTCGGTGTTTGGATGGGCTCAGGTTTGGTCCCTGGATGGATGCAGAGGTTTGGCTTCTGGTTTGGTCCCTGGAT